ATGATTTCAAAATGGGTGGATTTGGGGAGACGAGGGGGAAGAATTCAAAGTGAGTCTAGAGAAAATGATTAGCAAATATGAGGATGATAGGGAGAGGGCATTCCAGATGAAAAGGAATATATTTTATCGGAAGCATCATGTTCTTTCTTTCCCTGAAAAACAAAGAGAAATGGAAGAAACTCCTAGGGATGAATAACAGTATTATGGTGCAGCCAAAGGACTAATTTGTGAAAAAATAATGCAAGAAAATGAAGATATGAATCATGATTATTGACAATGAGAAGATTCCACTTGAGGGAACGTATTTGGAGCATTTTGGGAGAACTTACTGTTGGGTTGATAAATAAAATGAAGAAAGGTGAAACAGGATTACATTTCAGAGAAAATGAAGAAATATGAGATCGATTAGAAGACAAGGAAGGCCACAAACTCCTCACTTAATGCTGTGTAATACAGTCAGCTAAGCACAGCATTGACAGAACATTGGAAGACATATGGATGTGACCTAACCAAATAATAACTTTACCTGTCTAAACTGGGGCTAGCTTTTCAAAGTCTTCTTTCCCGAGAGACATGACTAAATCTACAGATGTATACCTCAAAAGATAATACAATGGAAGATGTGTGATTGGTAGCCTAAGAAAATGAGGAAGAGTTAGGGTAATATGGTAAATGTGAGTAGATGATGATATTTTAAGTAGTAATATTTTAAGATAAATGTGGTATCTCCTCCTTGAAACCCTAGCAGGTTAGAGCAACTGTGACTTTAGGAATTATTATTAATATGCATAACAGTATAGATGAGTCTCAAAATATTTCTATTGAGTAAAAGAAGCCAAACTTCCACTCCCCTACCCCCCCCAAAAGAGCACATAGTGTGTGATTCTATTTATAAAAAACTCTAGAAAAAACAAACTATAGGAACAGAAAACAAATCAGTTGTTGCTTGGGGATTGGGGCAGGGTAGGGCATGAAGAAACCTTTGGGTACCATGGATATGTTTACCATCTTGATGCATAGTTTTATAGGAATATATGTGTCAAAACTTATCAAACTGTACAGTTTATACATGTGTATTTTTTGTATGCCAATTATATGAATTTAGACATGAGGGAATCACTAGAGTTTCAAAATATGGAAGTATATAGTCAATATAAAACTAACATAGGGCTTCCCTGGTGGCACAGTGGTTGATTAGACCCTGAGCGTTTCTTGCTGGGTAACTTTAAGCAAGTTATTTGGCCTCTCTAATACTTAATTTCTTCATTGTCAAATGGGGATAATACCAATATTCAAATCATAGGGTGTTGCAATGGTTAGATGAAAGTGATTCTAAAATACATAAATAGTGTTTGATATACAGTAAACTTCAATACAAATTAGATATTGTTTTTATTGCTGTTGTTGTCTGGACTTGTTTGGACTGAAAGATCAATATGGGACCAATTATCCTTGTCATACTAAGTGCATATGCCGCCCTCTAGTGAATGAAAAAAGCACCACATTGGAAATTAAGAAGTGTGGCTCTTGCCTCAGGTCTGATATTAGTGAGCTGTGTCACCTTGAATGTGTAATATTATGTCTCTGACTCTTAGTGTTTTTTTTAAGGTTACAAAATGTTATTGGTTAGTAGCTTTTTAAATTTTCTTAAATTTTGTTAACGTATAGTTGATTTACAGTGTTGTGTCAATTTCTGCTGTATGGTAAAGTGATTCAGTTGTATATATATATTCTTTTTCATATTCTTTTCCTTTATGGTTTATCACAGGATATTGAATATAGTTCCCTGTGCCATACAGCAGGACCTTGTTGTTTATCCTGACTCTTAGCTTTTTTCATCTATAAAATGACAGGGTTGGACCATCCACTGGGTTTCAAAAATGCATATGAAGAGTCCTAGAAATATAGACAATTCCTTAGTTGATGCTCATTGAATGGGAGAAAAAGGGGGAGGTAAAAGAGATGGGGTTCAACTATCTTGATCTTTGCTTCAACCAGAACATCCTAGAGAATTAATGTTTAGTTTTGAATCACTTATAAGTATTTTCCTTGAACAGAAATCCCATAGCTTTATAAGTTTGAAATGCACTAGATTTCATAATTTCTAAGGTTTTATTAGCTCTATAGTTTTGCAACTGTGTTTGACAATTATAAGATTTGACTTCAAAGCCTTTCATTAATACAATCATGCTAAAGGTTGAAATAATTGTATTTTCTCAATAGGATGGAGAAATTCATATAATATGTGACAAATATAATAATTAACAGTTTTATGCCTTTATAAAAACCTTTTAAAAGAGGCATCATTATCCCATTTGAAAGACAAGGACAATGAGACTCAAGAAGTTTAAATCATCCCATAGGTACATGATAGATTTGGAATTTAAACTCGCATCTAGCCAACTCCAAATATAATTGTCATCCTTTTGCAATTAACAAATCACCAATGAAAAGGCCAATAACAGAGGAAGAAATATCCCAAGCTGCCACCCAACCTGCTTCTGTAAAGTCCACATTGGCTCTCTGGATTGTTGAATTCAAGCTTTCACTGAGCACTTACTCTGTGTCCAGCACCTTAGATTATATAAGAATAAGTGGAGTGGAGGACCTATCTTCTAAGAGCTTAAAATCTAGCCAAGAAGATAGACCTTTAGTAGGAAGCTGTTATAAGAGTGAACACAGGTACATGGTATAGTCTAAGTTTGCTGAAGGTAGGAAAAATCAAAGAGATCATAAATACAGAAGCTCAGTCCATCTGCAAATAGTAACATTTCCAGATGTACGTGAAATAGGGTGAGTCTGGCCAAGTGCTTCAGCAGGAAGGAGAAGGCACAGGTGTCTTTTAACATCAACTTCAGAAAGATAAGGCAGAGGCAAGCAGAGAAAAACTTATGCTAATCATTTAAGTCTTTGGTTGGTAGCTGAGTTCCTGTACAATATCTGTCACAGTAGAGCAGCCAGGTCTTACAGCCTCAGTAAGCATGGCCATACAGCCCTTTTTAAGGCTGCCAGCCATAATCACCCAAACGGACACTCTCAGAAATCAGGAAAAGTCCAGGAGCAAGCAACCACTGAGGACACCTTCAAGTATCATTAAGGCCACAGCAATTACCATGTAGCAATTCTGCAAGAAGAACTGAAATTTTGAATGCAAGCGTACAAAATAGCAAACATAGGAGTTGCTTTAGCTTCAAAGAAAAACAGTGAAATGAGTGCAAACCTAAAAGGATGGAAGGAATTTCATCATTATGAGACTGCTGTTTCCCTTGGCCAAATTAGGTTTGATACAATCTAATGCATAAAGAGAGTGATCTTTTCGACATAAATTCTTCTGGGTTTGGGGAAACTCTAGAGCTGTCCTTATTCAATCTGAGTGGCTATGGGAAAAAGAAGAGTCAAATAATGGAAATAAGAATTGCCATCAACTCTAAGATATAACTGAATATTGGAAGTAAAATTAAGTATTAGACTGTAAAAATGAAATCCTTTAAAATGCTCAATAAAGAGCATATTGTATCTTCTGTTCTTTTTGAAGACTTAAGTACCTAGATACAGATTCCTTAAAATGAAAGCAAGCTCTGTACCTCTACAGCATACCTCTACAGCAATTTGTTTCATATTAAATAGTGTTTCAGCTATTTTTGTCTGGGATTGGTATGACAAAGAAGCTTATTTGTCTTCTTTTTATTTGAGAAACTGCCTCCTTCCTGAGAGTAATGAGGTTGGCATAGCTGATGTGAACTTGATCCAGATTTCTAATGCATGCTGGGAGAGGGCTTTCCAAATTGCAGGATCGCTGGAAAGTGATCGCCAGTCTGCACAGTTCCAGTCCTTAAAGGGAGACCTGCTTCCAGTCATTAGTGTGGCTGAGCATGTGGTAAGGGGCCTCCAATAGAAGCAGGCCTTCTGGACACCCTTGGATTTCTACGCTTCTGGAATTTGGCATTGCCTGTTTGCACTTCCTGCTTCATTGAGGTGACCCAACTCTGGGTGCTTCTTTTCTGCTCCAGGCCCTGTAGACAGGGCACCAATTCCATAGGATAACAGTAACATAAGATACATATGAGAGGCATATGAGAGCTGAAAAGGAGAACCACTGGAGTGGAGATGTGGAAAACAAATCACAAGCACGGTGTTGACCAGTTATCTCAGAACCCAAGAGCAAACCTTTTACTCTCAGCCATGTTTTCTTCATTATAAGTCAAGCAATTCACTGATGGATTTACAGCAAAGGAAACATAATTATGACATGAGGTTTAGGGCACAGAGTTTCTGAGCCTCTTCTGCCACTACCTCCCTGCGTGTCTGATATAAGCCCCTTGGCTTCTCTGAGTTTCATTATCCTTTAAAGTAAAATTCAGACCAGGAATCTTCAAGATTCCTTCTACTTCCAAAGTCCTAGGATAGCACAGTTTTACTGATATCTATTTTAAAATATGTTTTAATAATCATAGAAAAAAATGAATACAAAATAGTTCATTCTTCAGAAAAATACATTTCATATGTAGTGAATACAAATATAGAGACAAGAATAATACCTACAACACAAGCTAATGCCTTTAATTTTGGGGTTTTACTGTTCATTGATGTTATTTTTAATGACATTTTCAATCTGTGATTTGTGTTAAATCCAATGGCCTTTTAAGTGCTGGAAAGACAGAGTTATTCTCAGCTCTGACTCCAATAATGACTTACAGTTAGGGGTTAATTTGGGAAATTGTCTGAAATTGCAGAGAAGGCCCAGATCCTATTCTTCTGAGGTAAATTTGGCTGGTGGCTAGTGTGTTGCATTATCACGTTTTTTTCTTAATCTTGATGCATTGTATTGATAGATGAAACAAATTTATAGTTAAGCATAATTGCATAGCATCATAAACCTTCAGGTTTATAAAGTGTCTCAAGGATCATCTGGTTAAATCTTTACTCTGTACTTGAATCTTTTCTCCATCATCCCCCTAAGCAGTCATCCGTCCCATATTCAGAATAGTTTCCAAGGTGCTCTAAGATTCTGACACCGAGTGGAGGCTTCAACGAGGTGATCTCCTCTGGAGTTGGATCTGGAATGGAGTTCCTGCACATCTCTCCTTGTAAGGCTTGTCCTATATTTGCATGCCCTACCCCAAGTCTTATTATAGCTAGTACATGTTGGCTCACAATTCAAACTCAGTATGTCACTGCATCTTCTTCTAGGTGTGTTTCTAACCCCAAATTTTTCAAATTCTAGTAGAAGGGTGTATTTGTCACCTTTAAAACGTTTCTTCCACTGAACACTATTGTGATCATATTATCTTACTGGTGAATATTACTGGATTATCCAGGGTTTTCAAGAGCACCATTTTTAGTTCCGTTGCTTGTGGATTTATTCCTCAAGATACAGAGCACCTTTATTATATACTCGGGTGGTATCTGGTGCATCTCATCAAATTGCTACTGCCTGTGCTCTTCAGATTAAGGCACTATTATGCTGTTTCTTAAACCTGGTGTATTTTTTTATAGAGCAAGTTTTATTTTGTTATTTTATTGATAGATGAAATGAATAAATGGTTAACATAATAGTATAATATCATAGATCTTCAGGTTATTAAAGCACTTCAGGAACCATCTGGTTAAATCCTTATCAAATACTTGAATTCCTCCTCCCCCATCCTTCCAAGTGGTCATACATTCTATACTCAGAATATTTGGTCCTATAAAAAGTTTATTCTTCAAAAGCTAAATATTGACTTATCATATGACCTATCAATTCCACTTCTAGGTAAATACTCAAAAGAATTGAAAACAGGGACTCAAAGGATACCTGTACACACATGTTCATAGGAGCATTACTCATAATAGCCAAAAGATGCGGGGAAAAAACCAAGTGTCCATCAACAGATAAATAAAATGTGGTTTATATATACAATGTAATATTATTGAGCCATAAGAAGAACGGATGTCCTGAAAGGGCAGCAGCTGGCTTGGACATTTACTTCTAGGCTATGCAGTAAGCAGAGCTTTTCAAGTAGGCATTCTGATCCAGAACTTAGAATACAGTCTTTTAGACGTAGACTGAATATACCAAAGAGTGTCTGGGTGCACATTACTATACAAACAAATGTCTACACAAGTAGGTTTTCTAGTAACAACCTCACTGGAAATGTCTCATGTGTAATTTCTGTTAGTGGCCATTTTAATGAAGTTCAGAACCACATGCTGGGTTGATGGTTTTCAACGGCAAGGTAAATGCAGACAAAATTACTATTACTGAGGATAAATGGGCCAGAAAGAGCATAGTTAAAATAAATAATTATTGGAACATAGCTTATAAAATTGAAAACAGTCTGGAACTTTTAATCCTCGATGATATCAATGTGGATTCATGAGAGGATGTGAAACATGCTAAAATTTCTGTTGCATTAAAAAATTTGGATTTAAATACTGAAAAATACCTTAGATTAATTAACTAATTAAATACATACAAAATAGTAATGTAAGTCACTCAGATAATAAATATAGTTTATAAAATGTCTAAACTACTAAAAAAATTAGATTGACCCCAACTGAGTGAGGCCTAATGGAAATGAGATGCCTGTCTTTGCACTGTCATTCCTTCTCTTGTCCTTCTGTTGATAGACTTGCTCTTTCTAGTCATGGTACCTAAATCCCAAGCAACAACCATTGGTCTAACAGTAGTCAGAAGATCAAAACTAAGTCAGTCTGAATCCTTCCTGCACTTTGTCTTACTGAGGAAGAGATGGAAACGATTTCCCTGGCATGCTTCATTTAATAAAAATAGTTTCTGACACTAGCAAAAAAATAGTTTTTGACACTAGCATCCTTAAGTCTTAAGTTATTTCACAAACATTAATTCTTGCAGAATTTCTGCAAGACAGAAATTATAGAGACACAGATTGATGGAGACCTGAAGATAAAAAGTTAAGGGATCGTCCACTTCAAGTCACTTCATTTTTCAACCTGAAAAAAATTGAAATCCCAAAAGCTGAAGTGACTTCAAACTACTTTTGCCCAAGTAGTTCTCTTTTTAAAAATGTAAATACAAGACAGTCCTATGATTAACTCCAAGTCATAAAATGCATTTTTAATTACTGTAAAAATTAAACTTTAAATTTCATTTACTAATCTTGGAAGGAAGTTTATTCTGTCTTTTTAAAGGCAGACCTAAGGGGTAGAGAAATGGGTAGAGAAGGGTTAATAAAATGCTGTGTCAATAATGAGTGATAATTTAGAGCAGCACACCAGTAAGCAGAAGAAACAATGTTATTTCTACTCACTTAATCTGAAGATATGGAATGAGAGAAATTGCTAGAATTTAAAATAGTATACCAGTGAGCAGAAGAAACAATGTTATTTCTACTCACTTAATATTCTGAGTTACAAGACCATGAGCCTATAGGTATCACTATTCAAGTAGGAGACATTGGGAGGAGAAAGCTGAGGGAATGATGCCAACAAAGAGAGGAAGCTTCAACTGGTAACAGAAATGTGGGGAGATTGCCTGACACCATTTAAGCCCTGACATCCTGTGGACACCGAGCTCAGCTTCCCTTTCACTACTCTGTTTTCCTTGCTTTAGCCTATAGCTAAACATAAACACACGTGTACTTTTTTTTACTTTGAATTGTATATCACTTGGAATAGAGAATCCTGATCAAAAGCTCAAGAAAAGAACAACTTAGGTAACAAGCTCACATGATAAATTATTAACCTAAAATAATTTACTGTGTTTAAGTCTCATGATATTGAAATAAATAAAAATAATAAAATGAATAAGTAAATCAAAAGTAATTAAAATAAACATGAAGGATTAAATTTTCCTATGAGACAGATATCACTGGATTGGGTAAAAAGAATGTAAACAGAAAAACTCAGAATAAAAACAAATAGACAAATCAAACAACATTAATTAAATGCTATTTTCAAGAAACACGTCCCAAACAAAATGACACAGTTTAAAAATGAAGGATGGAAAGAAAAAGTACCAAGTAAAAACTTATTTTAAAAACTAGTGTGACAATATTAATACAACAAAAAGATAGAATTTAATGTGGAGATATTTATTTGGATAAAGAGGCCTATTTTATTATGATTCAAGGTCTATTTTTCTAAGAATTTGTAACAATCAGAAGACTTTATTCTTCCAGCCACATCAGTTTAAAATACACAAAGCAAGCCCAGTGAAACATAAGGACTAGCAGATAAAGACATAATCAAAGTGGGAGACATTGACAATTCCTCTCAGATCAAGAAGTGTTACCATGGGACTTCCCTGGTGGTGCAGTGGTTAAGAATCCGCCTGCCAATGCAGGGGACATGGGTTTGAGCCCTGGTCCAGGAAGATCCCACATGCTGCAGAGCAACTAAGCCCAAACGCCACAACTACTGAGCCTGCGCTCTAGAGCCAGGGAGCCACAGCTACTGAGCCCACGTGCGGCAACTACTGAAGCCCGCGTGCCTAGAGCCCGTGCTCCGCAACAAGAGAAGCCACTGCAATGAGAAGCCCGCCTACCACAATGAAGAGTAGACCCTGCTCACTGCAACTAGAAGAAAGCCCGCGCGCAGCAACGAAGACCCAACGCAGCCAAAAAAAATTTTAAAAAAAGTGTTACCTTAATGTGAGCAAACATGACTCATGGGTGCAGTCATAAAGAAACTATTCTGCGTCTCACTGTCCTATTGTTTTTGTTCAGTGCCGCTACTTTTCCCCTTTACCCAGCTCAGGTTAACTGGCAGCCTTACAATTTACCCTAAAGGAATAATTCCTGTTTAACTTGTCAAACAGGGTCTTATTTCAGAGATTAAAATGTCTAGTCTTATATAATCATCAAAAACTCTAATCTTGATTTAAGTCCTCTCCTGGAGATCCCACTGCAGGGAAAAATCTAAGGAAAGGAGGTTAATTGGCTTTTTCTCTCTTTCCTCCTGTATTTCTTCTATTCCTTCTCCCCTTCTGGCTAGCTGACTACTCTAATTATGGGATGGATGGATAGGAAATTGGGAGAGAGGCCATGCTGCTCTCTATAAATATCTAGTCCATGGAAATTGTAAGTCTTTTCCCCAAAACTTTGGAAGAGCAGTTTCCTACCAAACTTCAGGCCACTACTTTGCTCCCATGGAGGTCTCCTCAGCCAGTATGTTGTGCTTTATTTAGCTTCTTGGTCTTGACTCAGACCCCTGTCTACTCCTATGTCCCTCTAACTGCAGAGTACGCAGCCTAAACTCTGAGTGGTCACCTGCAACCCCCTTTCTGTTGATGTGGGTGGAGCTGAGGGAGAGCACATTCCTCACTCTTTTTTCTTATGGGAGAGAGAGGGATTGTGACTCAGAGCAGAGTTCAGGCTAGAGATACCCTCTTCAGCAATTTCCTCCAAATCCAACTCTTGACTCTAATATCCTGGATATGAGTGAGGGACAACATGAATATTTCCTTTGAAAATTCTGCACTGAGGGTCTGCCACCTCACCCTGAGATGTAATTTGTAGTGTTCATGAGTATCAGCCCAAACTCCCATTGTCACATCTTCTGATATAAGTAATAATGGAAAGTTTTTGAATAACAATTTATTTTCTCACACTTTCTCCCTCCCAACAGGTTCTCAGAGAAACACTTACAGCCTTAAATGCATTTAACAGAAAATGAAATAAACAATGAATAGATTCAGCCTTTAATTTGAGATCTTTGAAAACAATTCCAAGTACTTAGAGAGATAGAATAAACAAAGATAAATTCAGGATTTATAAAACAGAAGAAAAAATTTAAAAGTATATGTGATTTAAAAAGCCAAAACGTAGATTTTTAAAATATATATTAATGAATAAAATATTTAAAACTCTAGCAAGTCTAATTAACAGGAAAAAGAGAATTCACTAGTAATCTACATTAGGAAAAAGAAACAGATATAATTATAGATGTTGAAGAAATTAAAAATAAGAAAATACTACATGTAGATTTATATCAATATATATGAAAAGCTAGATGAAATAATCAGTTTCTAGGAAAATATGAGTGACCAAAGAAATGACTGAAGAACAAGTAAAATACCTTAATAAACCAACAAACAAATTTTTTAAAAAATGGAAAAGTATTTAAAGCAGAAGTGCCTAAATGACATCTGTTTAGCTTATGAGTTCAGTCAAAGCATCCTATAAGGCACTTAATAATTCCTGTTACTTAAGCTGTTTCACGGTAAAGAAAAAGATTAAAGCTTTCTTATTCAACACATGTCTGCTATTAACACCAAGCCAATAATACAAGAGGTACTGTTGTACCTCCTGTCACAAAAACTTAATAATAGTTCGATGTCACATAGAACATAGATATAATTTTAAAAATCAGCAAATTAAATTCTTTTCTTGTTAAAAGACTAAGATAACATAACCAAGTATATTTATCCCAGGACTGCAATATGATATATCATTAAGGAATTCTTTGTAGTTTATAATAGAAATGGTATTTCAAATACCTGAGAGGAAAGACTTGCTATTCAATAGTGTGTTACAGTTGGATACCCATATGGGAAAAACTAATGTTATAATTCTACTGCTCATCATATACAAAAAGAAACTCCATATAAATTGAATGTCTATATTTAGAAGTTCATGGGGTTGTTGGAGAAAAAAAAGAAAATATTTTTATTCCTCTGGGATAGCAAAGACCTCCTAATATGCTACAAGACCAAAGCCCCTAAAAGAAAAGATTGATAAACGCAACTCAATGGATAGCAACATGTCCTGTAAAATGCAAGGTATCTTAAATAAAGTGAAAGACAAGCACCAGATTAGGAGAAAATATTTGTAAGAGAAAAAAACTATAAAAGTTTACTAAACTTAGTGTATTTTTAAAATGTTAACAATTTTTAAAAAGGCAAACAATCCAATAGAAAATGGAGCAAATAATACAGTTTATAACTATAAATTACTAATAAATGGTAATAAATATAAAAGGGTATGCTCAATCACACAGGTAATCAGAGGAAAACATATTAAAACCACAGCGATGTGCCATTTCCTGCTTGGAAGATTGGGTGAAAATGAGAGAATAGTGAGATTCTGCCAGAGTCTGGGGCAACTGGCATTCTCACCGGTGAGTGTGTGAATTGATGCAGTTTTCTGTAGAATTATTTGACTGAACCTATTAAGTTAAAAACAAGGTCTTCCCTTTGACTCAGCTGTTTCCTATGTAGGTATCTTTTCCACATGATCACTTATATGTGTGTTCAAGAAAATAATTTTGTTTGGCATTGTTGTAAGAGCAAAAAAAAAAAAGGGGTGGGGAATGAGTCATCTATAATGTTCTGTCACTAAAGAATGGTTTAAAAGTTTATGCTATTAATTTATTTACTGAGGCGATATATGGAAAGTGCTTAGAACAATGCCTGGAACAGGGCAACAGTGAATAGCAGGTCCTCAGTGAATATTTTTAGAATGACTCTTATATATGTGCAATGCTCTTTATTCTGTGATTGCCCCTCTATACCCATGCTCTGTCCTTCTCTGATTCCTAGGAAGATGACTTGCATTTCCCTTCTGCTTTGGCCTTTTGTTGGTTTGGATCAACCCATGGAGGCACCAACAGGATGGGAGAGTGAGAAGGTATTTCTGATATTTCTCCTTTGCTACTTCCCTGCCATACTGTGATTGGTTGTGACAGCATCCTTCTACCTATGGCCAGACCTCCCACTGGATACGTATGGGCAAGCACCCAGGCCCACAGTCCTCACTCATTCGAGGACCAAATCTCATTCTCTCCCTGTTCCTCAGTCCTCGAGGTGGTAACTGTTTTCTTCTGTTGCTGACACCTGGGTGCTTCACCATCCCTTGCTGGTTCTTTTAGTCCTGCCCATGCACGTTTTCTTCTTAGGAACACAACTACTACACAAGCTATGTAATACCATGCAGCTATTAAATAGTGTGAGGGGGTATTAGATGTACTGACATAAAAACAATTCCACAATGGGTATGTTAGGTTTTAAAAAGCCCAATACCCACAGATGTATTTATCCATATCCATTTATCCATAATTAAGATTTGCCACGTTTTGGTATAATGCTATTTCCAACACTTAGACATTTCAAATCCACAGTGCACTATAATGGAAAAAGATTAAAATATATAATACACATTTGGACAGTTCAATGGTTTATAAAGAACTTTAAATGTCAAAATATGTAAACGACTGATAATCTTAGAAAACTTGTTATTCCAGCAGCGATACTGGGGCATTAATGCAACCCTGCCTTAAGTCCCACACATTCAGGCTGTATCACAAAGAACAAGGATTCCATGGCAACACCAACTGGCTATTCATAGGACTACCACCAATCAGCATGCACTATAGCACAACAACATCATGCACTCTAATAACTTTAATTATGATGACACTTTGGTTTATAAACTGATGATCAAAGAACAGGCTATAAAACTTTAGAAAGTTCTGGTGTTTAGACATCCGGATAATGTATCTCCTGACAAATTTAAATTCTGCTGGTTCAAAACCTCAGAAGTTCTCCAGGTGAAATCTGAAACTAAGGCCCATACATGAGGGCCTGGAGAGAATGAAGGAAGAGGCAGCCACTCGGGAGTGGTAGTTGGCAGGTTTAATAAGCAAGAGAACTTATGTAGGAGGCTTACCTTTGGTGCCACAATCCCCGCCAGGATCTTGAAAGTTTATGTAGAGGCCTTACCTTGGTTCAGTCGTGTGTACTGTCCAGATGGTCTCAACAACACATTGCTCTCTCACGGCTGCGTCCTTGAAAACGGCTCCCATTGTGGGAACAGTGGGTAGAATGTGCATCCCGAGGACAGGGGAGGGAGTTGAGGTGCCTCCCATTGCCTGGGTCCAGCTCACAGGTCAACCAGTGGTCATGTCCTCTCCATGACCTCCTCCAGCAAACGCCTAGAAAAGGATATTGAAACATCAATGTATGAATGACAACTACCTCTGGGAATGGAATTAAAATTGGTTTGGTCATAGGGAAATTTTACCTTTTTGTTCTCTAAACTTCTGTATTACTGAAAAACAATTTTACAGGGAACCCATGTTCATTTTATATTATGTAAATAATTTTAAATAAAATTTGATACAAAAATGATAGGATTTTCTTTCTTTTTTTTTTTTTTGTGCAGTATGCGGGCCTCTCACTGTTGTGGCCTCTCCCGCTGTGGAGCACAGGCTCTGGACACGCAGGCTCAGCGGCCATGGCTCACAGGCCCAGCCGCTCCATGGCATGTGGGGTCTTCCCGGACTGGGGCACGAACCCGTGTCCCCTGCATCGGCAGGTGGACTCTCAACCACCACGCCACCAGGGAAGCCCGATAGCATTTTCTAGAATGGAATTTTGACAAAATTTTGGTAATTCTATGGAAGAGAAAAAGAAAAGAGAACAGTTTGACTATACACAGAGCTCTCTGAGGTCAGTATTTAAAAGAACGGGTTAAAAAAAAATAGGGAGAAATTACATAGAGAGGTCATTAGGATCACTAAATGGATAGTGTGAACGAACTGCCTTAAATGGAACAGTCAGATCTGCAGCAAAATGGCCAGGATAGCCCAAAGCCCAGACTGTGTAGAGACCTATGAAAAAAACTTAAGACAATTATACATACATACATATATATATATATATTAGTTAAGAGCAGACAAGAAAAACTGAACAAGAGAAGAAACTGTTTAGGAAGATGTACACTTTTGTTAACTTGACAGAAACAACATACATACTCAACTATTATTTAACAAGGAGCTGTAAAGAAAGGGTGTCAGGTGGAATTGAAACTAATGAGAGAAGATAAGAGGGCAACACCTAGACCCTTTAAATGGTATTCAGTTTTCAGATACCAAAAGATTATATTCTAGTATAATAAAAGAATTTACAAATGTGATCAAGAATACAACTGATAACCTTTCTGAATAGGAGAGGTTTCATGGAGATAAACCATATCCAAATGTTTTAAAATGAGACATAGATTCTAAGCACTCAGTCTTAAGGAGGGTTTTGTGCATGCGTGTGTGTGTAAAGTGATCTTTTAATTTCTAATTCTGTCAGTTTTTTTTTTTTCCAGAGAATCTGTGTTAGTTTGCTAGCGTTTCCATAACAAAATACCACAGACTGGCTTAAACAGCAAAACTTTATTTTCTGACCATCCTGGAGGCTAGAAGTCCAAGATCAAGGTGTCAGCAGGGTTATTTTCTTCTGAGGAACTCCCTCCTTGACTTGTAGACACCGTCCTTCTGATGTCTTCACATGGTCTTTCCTCTGTGTGTAGCTGTGTCCTAATCTCTTCTTATAAGGACACCAGTCATATTGGATTAGGGCCCACACTACTGACTTTGTTTTACCACTTTTAAGACCCTGTCTCCAAATACAGGCACATTATGAAGTATTGGGGGTCAGGGCTTCAACATATGAATTTGGGAAGAACATAATTCAGCCTGTAACAGATACTTATCACCTTTAACTGAAATTTAATTATTTTACTGTATATCTTACTATTGATGTGATTATGTAAACTTCTTAAATGATGAAATGCTAGTTTGCCTTTATATCTCATAGCATCTTTAACCATCTAGGTGATCATTAAGTGTTTGTTGAGAGAGAATGAATAAATTAATTAAAGGTACACAGTATGAAGCAATGCTTTCTCACCTCTGGAAGTGCTCTAATTCCAACTGTAAGATCATGTGTGAACACTGCTGCTGAAGAGAGAAAAATTAGAAAATAAAAATCCGAAGTTCCTTCTGTGATTACAGAGTGTGAGCGAATCATGACAGGTGCAGGGACAGCTGTAGAGAGACCTTTCATACTTCTTTCTTCTCCCAACAGGATGATGGCAACCCCCATCTCATCAGCCCAGTCTCCTCTTAGGAACTCATCTCGTATCAAGGCAGAGATGGCTGGCTCAGCGAGGTCCTGGCTCTTATACACGAGAGGCTGGACCAAGGTGGAGAGCCGACCCCTCTCAGAAAGGAGCCTCCCGTCACCTTTGAAGCAACCACCCTTCAGAATAAACTCAGAAAATTTCCCTGTCCCTTTGTGGCATTTAGTGTCTTCTTGGGTTCTGACTGTATATCAGACATAGCGTATCCTTCCATAAACATGGTAACTCGATGATGAATTTGGACTTGGTAATGGACTTGTCTCAGCTCTAACACTTTTTGACAACCCTTCAGACAGCGTGACCAGAGCTTTTCAAAAACATCCTTCTGCTTGCCTGCTTGGTCCTACCCAGTGCTAATCCCTTGGTCGTCAAGAAATAGGAGTCTTTATGATCCTGATCATACTTGGGAGCCGGTTTAAACCTACAACATGCAACCCCATCTCGACCCTAACAAGGTACTGGGAACCTCATGTCATTAAATTCCACAGCCCTGGGAAGTTGAAGGCTGTTCTAGGGAGCTGAACATAAATTAACAATTTATTTCATATCTTCATATGCTCAGAAATCCAAATCCCTAACTTCTAAACTAGTATTGTAAACTTTTTTTTTCAGATGAGGGCTGTTAGAAGAAGTGTTTTTCCAAGTTGTCACAATTAATTCACATTTATGAAATATTCTCATTTCATTTCATTTCATTCTGTAAATAGGAGGCAAAGGAGAGAAGTGATCACCATCATTCCAATATCTCGTGACCTTTCCCAAATGTGCCTTTACAGACATGCTTCTGTTCTGGGCCTTGATCTGAAACGGGAAACTGGTTTACATTGTCAGTTATGATGGGAGGTGATGAAGCACAAGGGCAAAAATGGCAATCACAGTCTCTCTCCAGATTCCCAATTAACAAGCAGGAAATTAACAAGCAGCTTTCCTCACCCATCTTGACACTACTTGAAAGCTTGATGGTTTCATTATCATTAAATTCTGCCTTTAAATGTTTTGGATGTTTTCTTTCTTTCTTTCTTTTTTTTTCTTCCCATGATCAACTAATCTGTTAAGTCCACACCACAAGAGGTGAAAAATCCAAAAAGCATTGTCTTAGACTGGGTTCCCTGGATGAGACACAGGGTGACATGCCAAAGGTTTGGAGGAGGTATGCCCAGGAGATAAGCTTTTAAGGAAGTGTGGAAGACAGAATAGGGCAGAGGTAGAAGCTAGTCCACTATGGGGCTGCAACTGAGCCCTTGGCCCCTACTGGGAGCTGTGGGGCTGGAATGGCCCTTCAACATTTTCCGAAATTGAGATTCAGGGGCTTAGCTTTTGTATTCCCACATCAGTCAGTCATTGGCCATGGCTACCAGAGGTGTGGGCAAAACCTTGGGTGAGGTGGTTCTAGGCAACCAGCTGAGAGCAGTTCCCTTTGAGGACACAACTATGATCCATCAGCTGTGACATGGGTGTCTTGGTCCTGGTGATACTGGTACAATTTCCAGAGATCCTCTATAGCAATACAAAATCTAGAAGGAAATTAACTAATATAGAATGGAATATAGCTCTAATATAGCTCTCTGCTTTACACCTGAAAGTTATTTGAAATATTTTGTCATGAAAATTTTGTAAATTTTGCTTTATTACCTAAAACATTTGTGATTACTTTAATATAAGAGCAATGCTTTAAATAATTTACCAGTTTAATTACTTAATCTTTCTCCCTTAGATCTTCTAATAAATTGCTTACGGCTTATGCTGAGGCTTGGAATAGACTCCTGACACAGCATTATAAACCTTCATTGTACAACTCTCCCAGTTTGAGAAGAACAAGTAAGGCAAAATTAACAACAACAAAACAGTAATAATAGTAGTAGTAGTAGTCATAAAAATAATAGTGCCCAACCTTTGTGCAAAGTGTTGGAGTTTTCAAAGTGAGCAACAGTATAGCATAGGGATTATAGAAATGGGTTCCAGATCCAAAGAGACTGTGTTAAAATCCCAGCTCAGATATTTACAAGCTGTGAAAGTCTGAGTAAGTTGCTTAACCTCTCTGGGCCTCATTTTTCTCATATATAAAATGTGGATTATAATAGCCCCAGATCACCTGGTTGTTTTGGAAATAAAATGAGTTGATGTTTATAAAACATTTCAAATAATGCCCCCGCAAAGAACACTCTTTAAGGTTTGGGTACGATACTATCTGCTTTATAACTAATACTATTTTAAACACTGTTTCATAAGGTTTAAAAGTGAACACTATTTAAAGGTTGGCTAAATAAGTATTTCAGCTGATCTTCAAAGCAAGGCTGTAAGACAGGAAATTTAGTCATAATTCATGCATGCAGATACACATAGTAGCAGTTAAGGTCCTTAGCAAACTCGTACAGCTTGTCAGTGGAATATTTAAGTAGAGGTTCTGTTTATTAAAACTGAATCCCTCTTAGTTTCTTTAGAAATCTTGTTTTTGAAATAGCCACTACAAACTTACTTTGATAAACCAGGCAGAAAGAAAAGGCTCTACTTTTTAAAATTGTGGTAACAGAATTTATTTTATCATGCAGTTGTCAAAGCAATACTCTAGACACTGAAAACATCTGGCCTACATAATAAATATTTTACTCAGTTTAAGTAACTTCATGAGAGTAAGAAGGTGAGAGAAAAAAAGAAGTATCCTTCCTTCTCTACAAAAGAAACGTAGAAACAAAAATGTTTCTGTGTATAGGTTCCCCCAAATCCTTTGTGGTTTAGAATAATAGACTTTAGAACTGGAGGGAATGTTAGACATCTAATACCCTCAATTTATAGAATACCAAATTGAAGCTCAGAAAGGTAAAATAAGTTTTCCCAAATTACAATGCTAATTAGACACAGAGCTCATATTGAAAACTATGTAATTCTTACTTCTGGGGTATAATATTTCTTTGTTACAGGAATATTAGCTATATTATCTCTAGTTTTTCCCTCAAAGGAGACTTTTAAATCAGTCTCTACTTTAGACCAGAATACTCCCACATCTGGAGACCAAGCAGATAAGGACTTTAAAAAAAGGTTAATGTAATTTGCTGTTCCACATTATAAAGTCAGATTAAAATATAGGTATAGCTGTTAAAAGAGATGTCTTTATTCCTCTCTACTACACACACTGAAACAAAGTTGGATCATTTACTTTGTACTCTTTTTTCTTGCAGTTTCATGGGCTGACCATACTAATTGTGTTTAAGGAAAGCAACTGCCAAAAAGGTCCCTTAGACATGCAAATTTAATGGCCTATTTCTATAGTGCATGAAAGAAAACTCTTTGTGGAACTATGTTAGTGTATTTGAAGTTATCTTAAAAGAGTTTAAAATCTGCTTTTCCCTTGAGAAAAATATGGAACAAGGCATTTGGGCTAGCTGGTGCTAAAATAAACAATAATTTCCCTCCTTCTATATATGACCACTGACATCCTATCTCCTATTGCCAACACAAACCTACACCCAATTAAATCTATTTGATTGTATGAATTGATGCTTTTGTTTACTGACTGAGAACCAGAAACAGAAATGGTCTTGGTTGGATAGTGCAGGAGCAGGGGATTAAAAAGGAAGATTTAAAGGATGAAGAAGAAGGATGGAGGAGATGTGGAGCCTATTCCAAATTGGTCCCTTGGCTTGGTTTTGAACTGGCAGAGTAGGGATAGAGTGACAGAGCCGAAGGCCAATATCATAAGGTTGGGACTCTGAAGATTCTGGGCATGAGTGGAGCTGCTTCAGGACCCAAAAGACAAAGAATGGCTCAGAGATGTGGATGCTGGTGCTGCTTCTGTGTGGAACAGAGGGCCATGGAAGCCAGCATCAGGAACTTCCAGATGTAACGTACATGGCTGGACAAGGTGTTCCCATGACTGTCAGTGAGTGCTGTGAAACCACTCTGGTTTGGTCAGTAGATGTGTAACGGGGGAGTCAAACCAGGAAAGTAAGAACAGGACAGACACGTGGTGGTATCTAAGTTTGAATGCAAGTGAGGCATGCTATTGGTTATTCTTGAACATGACTTGGAGACACTTTGAGAGAGGGATAACGTCCTCCTGTTTTAGAGGTGAGGGTACTTGAGGCAGTAGCCATATTACTTACAAGTATATATTTCAAGTTATCCAAAGAGATTCCATCATTGCCTTCAGTTACTCTTTTTACAAGTCTCAACAGGCTCTATGTCATCCATCAGAGAATAACAGACTCACACAGTCATAACTGGAAATGAATTATTTTCATATCTGTATGTTCACATATTATATACATGCAATTAATACCACCACCTCCAGCTCATTTAGTTTTACTCAATGCAGGGACATCTCTACAGTATATCTGACAAATGGTTTTCTAATCCCTCTGTTTTGTCAGCTCCAAATTATAGTAAACCCAAAGCAGTCCCTTGGTAACTCTCATTCTCAGTTCCTACTTCTAAGCCCTCTGCAGCAATAGACTTGCTCTTCTGTATGGCATCTGCTCAAGTATTTAAAGACAGCCTTTGTGTCCAGCTCCATCCTGCATTTTCATTTTACCAATCTATCCTATTCTTCGACCACTGTATTTATATCTGGGGTCCTTATCTTTCACTATCTCAGTCAATCTTCTCCATACACTCATTATTTATTGTCTTAATATAGCATTTAAATTGAGACCCAAGATTTCAAAGTGGGCTAACCTCAAGGTATTTCCTCACTTGATAAGGACAATGTATATCTATACTTTCAAAAATAATGACCTTAAATAAAATATTAAATCACTGAAAGAAGTGGAATTAAAAGTGAATCATTTTATAATCTCAGCACCTGCCTTCTGTGGAAGGGTGTGAATGGAGGTAAGTGCAGTAAAGTGCCTACTGAAAACTTGAAATATATCATTATGATACTCATGAAAATACTGTGGGGGGTGAGTATTATCACCTCCATTTTACAGAGGAGGACACTGAGGTTCGGAGAAGTTACATAACTTAACCAAAGCACACAGCTGACATAGGAAAGACCCTGAATCTATGTGTGTATATACATTCATATATGAATTCAAAATCAGTTTTCTCTATCTGGTACTTACTTCTCCCAGTCCTTGCTCCTCCATCTTAGGTGATATTCTAGGAGAGGAGAAAAGCATCTAAACCGGCTTCTTATATACTTAAATTATTCACTCATCCTAATTTAAAAGATAGAAGTAGGAGTGGGTAGGTATGGCAGAAAAAATTGTCCTCAAGGCATAGTACAGAAGGGCAACAATTCTAAGATGATTAGAGAGTTTCGGGCACCATTAATGTGGTAATGGGTGGAGATGGCTACACAGAGATAACTTGTGGTCAATTTTTACACTCAAGTATTTTCACATGAATTTATATCCTCTATCTTGCATGTATGTAATTCTTGTCAAGGGGGTGAGAACCAAACATGGACATTTACCTCAATCCTATTACATTTCATCTTTTTTTTTTTTTAATGTCCATTTGTCTGGCCTGTTCATTCTGCCAACCAGTGAATTTGTTATTTATGTGAGCATTACATCATCCATATATTTGGGCATTCTGGGTCTTTATTCAGCCTCTGATCTAAATCTTGAAATGGACTGAATGTAGGGCAGAGAGGTTTCACACCTTTCTCTTCCCTGGCATATACATAATAAAGATCAGAAT